TTATTTTCTTATACTATAGTATTTGTGTAAAGGATTCATTTCTTCTCAACGCTCTACTTCTTCTTCCGTCTTCCTTCAACGCTTTTCTATTTAAAACGGAAGTCATGTATGGTCATGTACATATGCATTTATTAAAGCAGCTAGTCTGTATTACCTAGCAACAATTTTTAGATAATCTATAGATACATAATAAAATTCTGAGTCGAATCTGTACATTAAATATTTTTTTTTAAATCTTATTAAAATAATCATAATTATCGACACAGAGGCGGAATCTATAGTTTTTAGAATTTTTGTCCGTCTGTCGGTCTGGGAAGTGGGAACCCATCATGGCAAACCCACTGGGCGGATTTTGATGAAATTTGGTATGGTGATAGCTCGTTATCCGGGTCAACATTTAGGAAAATTTTCTCTACGGGAAAATATTTCATCTCTGAGAAATGTATACTAACCTTAAAACATAGGTACGAACCTGACTGGAGTGAGGGTGAGTCGCTGGTTTAATGTATAATTTCAACATAAATTATTTTGTCTAGAGTATTTATTGCAACAATGCAAATTTATAAATTATATGTATTTTAGAAAGCTCATATCAACAAAGACCTAACACCTTCACCTTGTCTTAACATGTTAAAATAAAAAAATCTCAGGTACTGTTTTAAAATTAATTAATGTTTATATTTTACTATGTGACCGACTTTGAGGTACTAAAAATGTATAGAAAAAAGCCCTCGATTTTTCCGAATATTCCAATAAAACGGGCAACAATTCTAAATTTTTTCCTCTTAAAGACCTCAATCAAACTAGTACGAATATTTTAAAAAAATAGCTAAATCCATCCAGCCGCTGTCAAGTGATATATAGATTACATAAGAAAAGTTCGGTTTCTATAAGCTTACGCAAAGCAAAGTGACATCATGATTATAGAACACTGAATTTCACAGTTCATCGTCCTAGCACATGTTTAGAAATATATTTAAAAACATATCTCGTTTTTAAACTATGTATATGCAGTTAAAAGTAATAACTGTTTCGTTAGCGCTTGGAATAATTAAATTGTGCTATTGATCAAACATCATTGATAGTAATTAAAAAAAACTAAAAGATGGTTTTTGAATTATATTACGAGAAAATACTATATACTGTATAGTAATACCATCTTTATTCCTTTTATTAAGCTATGGGCTATAAATGTATCTTTAATACTTTCTTAGACTTGTATGTATTCAGCCCTTTTTAACGTCCGACTGTTGGGCACAGGCCTCCCTTCAGTACGACGGGATTCAGGCACAGTCCACCACGCTGGCCTAGTGCGGGTTGGCGGACTTCACATGTAATTTGAAAACTTGCTAGATTCTCTTAGACATGCAGCTTTCCTCACGATATTTTCCTTCACCGTTAAGACAAGTGATAATCATGTTGGAAAATCATTTCCTTAGATTTGTATGTACCTTTAATCCAAATTGGTCGGAACGATGCCGCATTAAAATATAACAAACAAATATACATACAATTTTCCATTTAAACATAACATTTAATAAATATTACATAATAAAACTTTATTTACACTTTCTACGAAAACGACACTTCCGCAAAATAATCAAATTTAATAAAGACATAGTATTGACGTTTCTTAGAAAGAAATGTGATATAATGTCACGTAACGCAGTCTATTTACGTGTACGTGACGTTAGAATAAATATGGCTAATATTGTTTATATATGTTTTGGACGAAACGTGTGTTCGCCTATCAGATGTCGCGCAAATATTCCAAATTAAATGACGATGATGATTTATTAGGTATATTTTATTTAAGCGAATATTTATTATTAATCGGTAATGTACAATTGTTACGATCACGCTTATGTTCTACAATCGCAATTCTTAATAGAAAACTCATAAGCTCTCTTTTCTATTTGCTATGTTGCTAGTAGAAATCTAAGAGCATAGCTGAAACGCCAAGTTTCATTTGTATTCATTATACAAACGAACATTAAGTGATTTATAGTAAATATTTTAAATAAATTGAGCAAGTTCGAAATCGCAGAACAAATAGCTATCGTTTGGTTTGTTATAAAAATGGTCACATATAATAGTTTACATTGAACACTTGTTACATGTTTACACAAGTCGTCAAAACACTGAGCTCATAGTGCAAGCGTGTTTATGTCTCTAGCCGCTGCCCACTTCAATAACATAATATCAAACTATTTTTTTTTAATATTCATCTTAAATAGGGTTGTAACTTATTGAAAAAGTTCTCTTCTATCCCATCGATTGTACGGTAGTAGAAATTAAAGTCTTAGGTTCAAGTCTGGGTGGGGGTTTAGACAAGACGTCAGCCTACAATCGTAAATGAATAAAAATCTAATTGAATTCTTTATATAATGGCTACAATGTGTGCTAGTTGAGCACAAATAATTCTATATATATAGTATATAAATTACATAATAATAACCCATGATTCTATGATATAGCGATTAGATTTATCTTTTTAATACAGTTTTTAAAATGCCATTATTAAGCGATTGTAGAATGTAACTGGGCGAAGCCCTCTGGTTAGGGCCTAGAAAAGTGGCTATGGCTAAAATATCGTTGATGCTGAATTTTACAACACGGAATCGGGGTGTTCCCGGATGAGAAGATCTCCCTATTAGATTGTAAAATAAACGAAATAAAAGTGAATTAAATTTGGCTATTTTCAGCGATATTCGCCGCCATAACTTAAATTCATTTAGGAGGATCGCTTTTACTTAGTAAAAGCTTAAGTTAGAAACTAAGAAGTAAAACACTTTTGCAGAAATCATAAGGTGTTGCTATTCAATTTAATTCAATTTTGATATATCTAGAACATAGACAATTTTTACTCTTTTTAATTTTTTCTATTATAGTGTATTTATTGTTTCGATACATAGTTATCCAGAATCATGCTATTTTTTCCCTGTATCGGGGATTTCACAAATACTGTTGTGAATCTCATCTTTGTTATTATGGAAGTTGTTATTAGATGAAAATACTAACTTAGTCAGCCTCTCTAAATGAAAAATATATTTTTTTTAATATTTCGTTGGGTAAAATAAAAAAAACTATATTATTCTACTAAAATACCTCTCTATGCACTAAGTAATATACTAAAAGTATATTGTTATCCTACGAAAGGGTCAAGGTTCGATATCTTGTACAAATATTTGTATTTGCAATAGTTTTTTTATTTAGTTAGTTCTAGAGAAAGTATCTACATAGTACTCGTAGTAGATTATAAGAAAATTATTGTAAAAGTTTTTTTTCCAACAAATTGTATACAAGTTGTGTAATTTTTGAATCGACAACCCTTAAACCCCAGCTGGCGTACACTAGTAATAAATATAAGCAAACATTATAAATTTTGTTCAATGTATAGAATTAGCTTAGAGTAAGATAATAAAATATATCATAAAAAGCTATTTGCGAGGAATATGTCGAGTCATTGTTTACAATATCGATAAGTAAAATATTTAATCAGTTATTTGCTGATTATACTCGTTATAGGATTTTAGGAGGTTCTTTTTTACATCGCTGTTCAAAGGTCTATTTTTTAATTATCAAATAGAATTTTTTCATATACATATATAAGAAACTAGCAAATAGATAGATTACATATTATATATACGTATGATGAGTTTTATATCCATTGAGAAATTATGGATCCCGATACAAACTTCCAAACCCATTTTTACACCCATATGAGATGATTTCCGGAATAAAAACTATCTTATGTCCTTTCGAGGATCTTAAACTATCTCCATACCAAATTTTATCTAAATTGGTTCAGCGAATTAAGCGTGAAAAGGTAACAGATAAACAGACAGAGTTACTTTCGCACTTTTAGCATTAGTAGGGATATGTAGGAAAATCAATAATCCAAAATTTACGTACGTTATAACGTTTAAGTTTAGATTAGTATAGATTTTTCAGAGATGAGACATTTTCTCACACACGTTCTTATATTTCGTGGCTTCTAGGAATGCCAGTATCCTATACGTTGACCCGAATAACCAGCTACCATCATAGCAAATTTCATCAAAATCTGTCCAGTGGTTTTCTCGTGAAGCGTTTTCAGAAAGAAAGAAAGACAAAAGAGTCACAAGATTCAAAAAACTATAGATTCGGCCTCTGTATCGATAATAATGACTATTTCAATAAGGTTTTCCAAAAAATATTTAATGTACAGATTCGACTCAGTTAGAATTTTATTATAATCAATACAAAATTATGAGAATATTAATTCGTTTCTTTTTATATTTTATCCAGTTACTCAAGATGTTTTTCATCATATATGAAACTGAAAATTTAATATGTACATAATATATATCTTATTTGGTTAAACAAAGCAGTGTTAATTTTTTACTAATTGGACTGGTAAATACATACATACATACGTAAGTTATTAGCAATGCAGTAAACTTCTTGGATATATTAACATTTTATTTCGAAACTAGTCTCTACCTGTTTCTTGGTCTGCTTATTTTTTTATTTAAATTATTAAACATGACATCTGCTTTATATAAGCTTAAAATACGAAGTTCAGGCTGTCTTTACTTTTAACCGACTGTAAAATGAATTAGGTATTCGATTCGTGTGTGTTTTCTGTGTAAGAACTATATTTTCGCTAATTTTTAATTAATCTTGTTGATTTAATTTTATTTAAATAGTTCGACTTGTACGACGGATTATATTAATTTTAATTAAAAAAAACTACAATAACAGTGAAATAATTCGTAATTACGTTAAAATAGGTTTTAAAAATAAATTGTAACTTTATCCATATAGGTATTATCTTATCTAAGTTATCATATAGCAAACACTCATTATGACGGTTCATCATTAGCGAAGATATCGCGTATTATACAAAAAACATACACACAAATTCAGTACCCTTCGCTTTTTAAGTCGGTTAATAATATTGCGTTACTTAATAATCTGTGTAATTTTTTTATATTTACAATTATATTTGTCCTCAGGGTCCGGAGCCGGCATTGAATTCAAGCCCGGGTGGGGCAGCCAAGCCGCCGCCACTCAACGCTTTCGAGCTGGACCGCTGTTTGGATAGGTAATAATATACCCAATGAGTCGAAAATCGCCCAAGAGGACATGATTGCTTAAATTACTGTAATATTGTATAAAAAACTTCTCCTCTAGACCGATTTTTACCACAGTGGCTAATCTCATCTCACTGACCTACATGCGTGCAGGACTCATTACAGTGCGCAAGTACGCGTGCAAACACAAGTTTACTGTCTGTTCTTATCACTGTAAAATTTTGATCGGATGGCAAATCGATACGACCGATGAGAGATCAAACGTAGGACCGACGGCTTCAGGCGCTCTAACTAGACACGGAGCGAAACACCGCTAAACTAACTTCTATACTCCGGGTTGTTATTGAAACTTTTTTAAACAGAAAGACTCATTCACTAATATACTGAGAGATTTTTGACAGAAAAATCCAATATCTATGCTCGGTTTGAGCTGGGATTCGAACTCATGATCTCTGGATCTACAGCAGTACATGCTAGCAACTCTATTTCCCATTAGGTATGGGATTTCCACATCTTTCACTTCATAAATTATGAACTAGTACCTATTATTATAGTATAGCTTCATCCACTATTGAATCCTTTTAGGGAATACAGTTTTAATTTTTTTTAAAGTGAGTTCTACTTTTTTTTAAAAAACTCTTGCACATAATTGCTAATATACCTTTATTCTTCTAGACTTAGAAGTTTAAATTGTCCATTGCAAACATTGCAAAGTTTCATCCTTCTGCATCCAGATTTAGATCCATATTCCAGGGTACTTTAGTTAGTAAGTTAGTTAGTATATGAGTTTTATTGAGTGGATTCTGATATATTTTAGAGAGGAGACCCGGTGGGGCGGAGACGCTAGGCGTCGCAGGCGTAGCTCGCCTCCGCGACGCTCCCCGCCACCTAACAATGAGCCATTGTCACTTGCACGAGTATGTAATTACTTTAATTCTTGTATTTAATTATAATTAATATTGCTTTGCGTCTGAATAATATCTATATCATATGAATGTATTAAATTTACATACGTTAGTATTATATAACAGTGTCGAATTGTTACGTTATATTGTTTTTTTCTTTTTCCAAATATTGCACTGAATTTATATTTTTATGAATGTAGAATAAAATTAAAGTTTTTTCCTTATATTTAACTTAATTTTAGTTACATTATAATATCGTTTACGCAATTATCGTTTTAACATAATATATTATAATTGCAAATTAACTATAAAATTGACATTCAAAAACTTACATACTAGTTGATTTTCAAACGTATTTTAAACTACAAAGACAAAAGACAGAGTATTCTTCTCTGTTCTCTCCAAAACATACGAATATAAAGTTATATCTATTTTATCTTAATATATTAACTTGCTTTTACTGCCGTATGTAATTATATAATAATATCTAATTATATCATCTTATCAAATCTCATACTAATATCTAAACCATCAAAGGCAAGTGCCCCAACCTCCCCCACTGGAGGCTCAGCCCAGTCCAGCCCAGCCCCGGTCTCCCCCGCGGGCAGCAACAGTGCGCCCCCACGTTCCCCACTCCCACTAGTGGCCCAAGATCTGCTAGCCATGCAGCTGCTGGACCAGCACTCGCAGTTGCAAGCGCTGATGAAGCAGAGACTGTTCCATCAGCATCATATGCAGAAACAGGTTAGGTTTTGTGTTTTATTTTTGACTACTCTCTAGATGTAGTCAAGTTGTATTGTGGTTTGTTGGAAGTTTGATAGTGATTTTTTACTGAAATTTCTTTAGATATCAAGTAGTCTAGAAGATATAATACGTAATAGTCATTGCGAATTTTATCTGCGTGTCTAATTAACAAATTAATATGTTTTTAAACGTAACAAGTATTACAATTCGAAATAAAATAGAGTATACATATTAAGTCGTTCCATACTAAGATTTAGAAATATAATATTTCCTTAGATTTACACGAATATTTGACATTTTAAACCAAACTGTCTTCGGATTATATTTTGCAATTTTTTTTGTTTCTACTGTACTATATTTGCTGTTAAATATTCTAACATAAACAAATCTTAATAAAACAGTGACCTAATCCGAAAATAGAGTTTCATTAAAAAGGGTTAAGACTAAGTTATAAAATTTCTAACAGCACATGACATCGGAAGCTGCTAAGCGGCAGTTAGAACAATCACGGCTCCAGGACCAAATCAACCTGAATTTGCTCTCACAGTCCCATCTCCAGCCACCTGATAGTTCTCCCGGTAAGTGAATTATTGTCAAATGTCTTTAACTTCCCACTAGATAATTACCGGTTCGATTCCTGTTAAAACATGTACCATTATTATCTTATAATCTCCACCATATTAAAATCTATAGGAAAGGTTGAAAGTATTAATAAAAGTCATTTATTTTTTTATGATTTAAATAAATAAAAAAAACATTATCAATTATCATATCATAATATAATAATATAGATTTTATTATCAAAATTAACATTCTATTTATAAAACCTTAAATTACTTTTAGCTATTACAGTAATCCTATAAGCGTGATAAATGTAATCATTGTTTTTTTTTATGTGTGTGTACATAAAAAAGTTTAATTAGGTAAATGATATAAATATGTATTTAATTACAAAAAATGGCAATATTAATTTAGAAAAACTATACGTTTTTAATACGTCCTAATTATACTAATATCCTTTTAATATGAAATCTTCAAAAAACAACTCTCCAGATCATCTTTGCACTAAACTTAATCCAAATCCAGCAGTTTATATGTAGTATGTAAGAGTAACGAACACACACACATTGTGTTATGTACTTACGCATTTGTAATATTATTTATTGTTGTGTTATTCAAATCGTTAATAACACAACAATAATCACAACAATAGGCTCTCTACAACAACAACTGGGCGCGCAACAACAACAGCTTGTCCAGCAGCTGCAGGCAGTGCAACGTCAGTACTTGATGCATGCACCGCTTTCTGTACCGCCTAATGCACCACCAGGTAAGTTGTGGCTTCGATATTTCGTTAAAAAGTTAGTGTGTTGAAAAAAACTAAAAACACATTTTAGATTTACTAGTGTGTATATAACACAATTTATGGATTCAAATCTAGATGACATAGCATGAAATAAAGTTTAGCTTAAAAGCTCTCGTCTCAAAATTGCTGTAAGTTGGCTCAGAATTATTCATTGGCCTTTATAATATATTTAGTAATATCTGTTTTTTATCTAAAACCCTATGCTGACTTCAAATGAGAATCAAAATTGGTCATGATATCGTAACATATGCACATACAAAAAAATTATATAAAAACAAGTTTTTTTCTCTACATTTCTATTGTTTTTCGTTTGTTTAAACAATGATATGTAAATAATGATTTTGTTTTAAATATTATTTTAACTTTAATTGTAGATGCTGTAATAATCTCTTTTTTTTTTCATATTTTAAACTTTTTAATTAGGTTTGTTTATATACTTAATTTATTTTTATTTTATTTATTATTCTGTGAGTTAAAAAAATAATAAAAATAAATTCGAATAGATTACCGAGTAGGTAATCCTCGTCTATATTAAATACATTTTTATAAATAAAATACCCAGGTCTAATGCTATGGAGCAACGAGTTAGAGGAACACCCGCTATTCGGTCGCGGCGTGTGCAAATGGCCCGGCTGCGACGCTTTAGCCGAAGACTTTCAAGCTTTTCTCAAGTACGTAGCTTTACGTAACAAAAAAATACAATACATAAAACTTATAAAATAACATCTTTACTTACCACTTTCAGCGAAAATGGTCTATTTTACTGAGATTAGATTATGTGTACTGTCTATTTCTCTAACTCCCAAACTCCGGTAGAACGACAATTTAGCTCTAACGGTGAGAGATCAGGCGCAAGACCGATGGCTTTATATGTTCTACAAGGTACGAGGATGAAACACAGTTAACTTCCCAACTGGGTCTGACTAAGAATTACTTAACGGAATAACCCAGTGCCTACACTTAGCCTGACCTAGGAATCGAACCTAGGATTTCCGGATATGCGGCCGTACACGCTAACCATATTTTATATAACATTACATTTAAGTAAATTTAAATCTATTTATATAATAAAACACTGTGTTTCGACGTGAAAGAAGGACAAACAAACACACTCGCATTTATAATATTAATAAAGTTTGGATATGGATTATCCCACAAGGCACCTAGAAGGCGCACACACCCTGGACGACCGCTCGGCGGCACAAGCACGTGTTCAGATGCAAGTGGTGGCGCAGTTAGAGTTGCAACTCCGACGTGAAAGAGACCGTCTCGCCGCCATGATGCGTCACTTGCACGCTGCACGCGACCATCACGCTAAACTGCCTCATGGTGAGTTTGTATTCGTAATTACACAAAGTTCCACCTCCTTTTTCATCCCTTTAAGGGATGATTTCCGGGGTAAAAACTATCCTATGTCCTTCCCAGGGTCTCAAACTATCTCCATACCAAATTTTGTCTAAATCGGTTCAGCGGACTAAGCGTGAAAAAGTAACAGACAGACAGAGTTACTTTCGCATTTATATATTAGTATGGATTGTAAGCATCGATCAAAAAAGTACTAGGTAGTAGGTACACAATCCCATGCAAAAGTTCTCTTAAAACTGTCGAGTGTCACCTTAATTACCTATTTAGATAATTATTCAGTATCCCATGTAAATTGAACCTTAAATGCAATGCTTAAAGTTGTTTTCACAAAATAAATTTAAATTAAAAGAGCGCTCAAATGTTCAAATGAGCGCTCATTCGGTGAGGACATTTTTTGTCGCCGATTGTGCATGTAGTACTTTTTTTTATCGTTGCTTATATTATTGTACGATATAAAAATTGAAGATGGATAGTGAGACAGCAATAGAAACGTTGTCTGTCTCATAAAAAATATCACTAGGGTATCATAAACATCAAGCAACGTACATATTAGATGTTAAAGCTCGTCGAAGAAAGGTCAGTATTGAAAAGAAGCACGTGCCCAGTAGTGGGACGTTAAAAAGGGCTGAATGAGACAAGAAAAATTAAATTATATACAGTGCATTACATATATACATACAAACTTTTTATTTCTATAGGTCCAGCAAGTGAAGGGGCTTCCCCGGGGCCGGTGCGGCGCCGCGTCTCCGACAAATCTGGTGTCGCTATTGCTGGAGGTAGATATATATTTACATATATTTTTAGTTTCATTGTATTTTATTAGAAATATAATTTCTTCCATCATGTGAATAAATATTACCTTAATGTACATATAGTGAATTAAAACTACCGTACAAGTTAAATGGGTGTGGTAGTAGTAGTATAAATAAATAGAAATACGTTGGGACATTAAAACACCATCTAGTTCCATGGTAAGCTACGAGGCTTGTATTATGGATACCAGATAGTTGATACACTACACATATATAACTTTTAAATGCATACATATAATAAATATAAACACCCATGACTGGAGTACAAACGTTCGTGCTCATCACACAAATGAATGCGCCAAACGGGACTCGAACCCGTCACCGCTGGTACAGCAAGTAGGGTCACTACAATCTAATCACTACACACATAATTTATTTTTTTAACCGAAAAGGAAAAAAGGATTAATATTCCAATTTAGTATTTGCTTGGTAATATTACTCACATAAGAAAATAGTGAACGAAGTGATATCAACTATTATAATTTATCTGTTATAAAAATTAACAGGTAAGTACTAAATAACATTTGATACTTATACCATAGACATAGAGAGTGGGCTGAGTGTATCTTTGCCAGCTGTTAGCTAAAAATGGCGAAAACGTGCGACAGAGACAGAACGAATGTGCGGCCAGTCTTCTTTATTCATTGAAATACGATTAAATTCCATTATAATATTATTACTTTTTTACATTTCATTTATACATTCAAATTGGAATAAAACCCAGGTATTGACTGCACGTTCGTTTTCTCTCTTTCTAGAGAGTGGTCAATTTCATTGGAGTATCGCTCAGTTCATACTCTAAGTCTATGACTTCCAAATTCCTTCGTGTCTTTTCCATACTACGTAACACTGGCGAAGTAATAAGTAGTAAGGCGAAGTAAGAAGTAAAATATTTATTAGTAATTCCAAAAATCTTTTATGTTAAGGTCTTCCTTATATGCTCGAAAGAGCTGGATTAGATGTTCAACAAGGTAAAATAGTATGCACAATTATTAGCATTAACAAATCAAATATTTATAATTTTTAAAGGATTTTGCTATATTTTTCGTTCTTACATATCTATATTTTTGACTGATTTCCGAGGGAGGTACACAAACAAAATATTAAAGAACAATGGATATTATTAACTTTATAGCTAAAATATTTTACATAAATTGATGTATATAATATACATGTGATATTCTCCCGACCGATTCCGGCCACGGCGGCCAATCTCATTGAGACTAGCCAACTGCGCAGGAGATATTATAGTGCACAAGTGTACGCGCAGACACAACGTGCACTCTCTATTCCTGTCACTCATTACTCCGGCGGGACGACACGAGACACGACCAGTGAGAGTGTCGGCGCAGGACCGACGGCTTTACGTGCAGTCCGAGGCGCGGGGGTGAAACGCCGCCAACTTCCCAACTCCGGGCTGTTACTGAGGCTTACTTATACAGAAAGACTCAATAACTAAACTTGGCTCGACCCGGGACTCGAACCCAGGACCTCCGAGTGTGCAGCCGTACATGCTAGCCACTACACCACGGAGGCAGTAATATACATGTAGAGTGTGTAAGATGAGCATTAGATGTTGTGGGAATGAGATAGATAAATAGATAGATATGTGAGGCAGTGAGTTAGGGATAGAAGGGATAAGGAAACGGAAGAATGAGAGAGGTGACAGAACGCTCTAAGAAAAAATTAACACGAGAAAGACGTTTAATAGTTATAATAAAACTTATCTTACCAAAGAACGTGTACTGATTTTCATCCCTAGACTCTACATACATATAGATAGAGATTTATTTTGCTTTGCGTAAGCTGGTACCTGTTGTAACTGAAAAAAACCTGTTCAGGTATTTCTTACTATTAAATGCCTGAAAATTAGTTGATAATATATACAGTTTATATATATTAAGTTTTTATATCTATTCATATGCATTACTTTATACGTAAGAGTACTAAATACGAGAACAAATACTTTAAGGCTTAATTAGCCAGCAAAATAGTAATTAGAACCTAGGCAATTAGGTCCATAATCTTTCTAAATAATGACAGAATTAAAAAAAAATAGTTCCAGAGACTAGCGCGTACAAACAAACTGTTAAACTTCATAATACGTACATTTTACATAATATAATAATAAATTGCAGAGATTCAACGTAACCGTGAGTTCTACAAGACCGCAGATGTACGTCCGCCATTTACATACGCCTCACTAATTCGGCAGGTTAGTGTTATTTAATTATTGTTATTATTATTAACATGATTACCACTTGTCTTACGGTGAAAGAAAACATCGTGAGGAAACCTCCATGTCTGAGAGAACCTAGCAAGTTTTCGAAAGACATGTGAAGTCCGCCAACCCGCACTTGGCCAGCGTGGTGGACTATGGCCTGATCCTCATATTGAGTGGAGGGAGGCTCACTCCCAGCAGTGGGAAGATGAAATGGGCTGAACACTTATTATTAATATACTAGCGACTTCTCTTGGCTTTGCTTGCATGCATCCCTAAGCTTGATTGGTTTAGGAATGCATAAAATATAGACGTCCAAACATTTTTTTTACGCATAATGCATATGTATACAATACCCACCCACCTAACCCACCATAGTTTCATCACAATCGGATTAATGGTTTATGAACGGATAGAGGACAAACATACGAACTTTAATTTTTATTTATATAGAAGATAGAGGATAAGAAATATTTATTTAAATTCATTCATTGTTTATTTCATTTATTTTTAAATAATATTCAGTTTTTTAAAAATATCTGAAGTAATAACGAGTTCTTGAAAGTTATATATATTTTTTTAATTTATTGACTATTTTTGACTCTAAGAAATAAGTGAAGATGCTTATTGATTAACACAGGTATTTATCATTTACTATATTAATCATAATTAGTGATACTTTTAGTTGTTTCAATAATATTGGTTTTTTGAGGTAAAATTACAAAAGGCATAAACCATCTAGAATCCTAGATCATTGTCGACTTGGACTTTTTTTTATAAAGAATAATAAATACAAGGTTTGGTTTTTTAATAAAATAGTTTCTTCATTTTCTTCATCTTCTTTTAAAATGGTTGATATTATGATTTGGATTTTCGGATTACGATAATATAAACATGGAAGGTACCCGACCCCGTAAGATACATGTTCAAAAATGAGTATAAACTGTCTTGTTTGTTTAATATTTTTGGCTAGAAATCTGATGGTCTTGGGTTCGAGTCCGGGTTATCCAACTGTAGTCTCTCGAAATATCATCTTGTCAGACTTTGAAAGTTAAAGGAATAAAGAGTGCCTTGTGTCTGCGCGTACACTTGTGCACTATAATATCTCCTGCAGTTGGCTAGTCTCAATGAGATTGGCCGCCGTGGCCGAAACCACTCAGAAAGATACTATTATTATAAAAAGTATAGATACATAAAATATTTTTCCTATATATAATTGATGACTTAGAAAAATTCTTATCGACAATAATTTATATTAAGTAAACTTTATTGTTATAATAAAACATTTTCAGGCAATAATAGAATCGCCAGACAAACAACTCACTCTGAACGAGATTTACAACTGGTTCCAGTCCACTTTCTGCTACTTCAGACGTAACGCTGCCACTTGGAAGGTAAGAATTAAATTTTAATACATATTTAAAAGCGATCACCAAAATTTGCACTTAGAATCCTATGATTGGCTCTTATAAAAATATAAAATATTTAAAAAGTTCTGTACCTCTTTTATATGCAATTTTGAATAAAAAAATCAGTTACCTATACATTTCCACGTGATATTTATAACAACATATTTTATGTTCATATATCGACGGCGAAGTGCCAATAACTCCTCAGTGTCATAGTCAAGAATTTACACAAACTGAAAAAAAAAATATAATTTCTGACAAGTTGAAAATCAGTAAATATATTTATTCATTGAGGATAATAATGACTTATGCTTTAATAATTAAGTTATGTTAATATATTTGAATAAAACATGTGAATAGCGCCTTTAAATTCAAAACGATAAAAAAGTTAATTTCTCGAAAAATGTTAGTTACGAGGTATTGGCACCTCGCCGTCGATATGTAAATTATATATGAATAAAAAATCTCATATATTATTACATATCTATAATAATAAAATAAAAATTTAAGGAAAATTTATTAAATTGAGTGTTGGAGGTACGGATCTTGAAAGAAAACTAAAAGTAAGAAAAGCTAAAATGAATGAATACGTTAGTTAATACATTAATAAATTTTTGAAAAATTAATTGTACATTGCTGCAGAACTATAAGGTAAACTGTAGTTAGAATAATTAGAACTGTAATATATAAGTATATACTTAACTGTCTGTTATTTTTGGAAAAAAATGCTAGTGCACACTAATAGATATTTTTACTATTTTCAAGTATTCGTTAAAATACTAATAATATTTTTGAAAATAGTAAATAAAAAAATATGTCTTAACGTTTGTGTAAAAATGTAAATTCAAGACAATAATGTATATGCTGAATTAAAAAAGTTCTCGTAATTATATTAGGTATAAAATAAAATATTAGGTATACGCAATTTAAATACCAATATTTGAGACTGTCTAGTAAAGATTACGATAAATTATTTGATTTATTACATTATTAGAATTGGCTTAAGAATTACTGGAAGTAAATATAATATTTGCTTCTATATATAATAACTTGAATCTTCATTTACAACAGGCCATTTTGTTTAGTATTATTGGTATTAGTGCAATTAAATCGCTTTATAAGTCCCTATTAATAAAGCGTAAGTTGAATAAAAAATATATTCAAATTTATAAGTCACCAATAAATTGATTTATAAGTCTTCAATTATATAACCATAGAACTTATTATAATTATAACTAATAGCAATATATTTTAGTGTCAAATCGTCAATAAGAATACAATAGAAAAAACATAGAATTTAGCATTGATTTATTAAACTGAATTTAATTAATTCAATTGGTTAGGGACATAATTCACTTTGAATGATAATGTTTTTTAATATTATCCAAAATCATATTCTCCGAGAACAACAAACAAAAAAACAAAAAAAAACAACTTACCTAAAACCAAAAAGGTATCCTATCTAAATAATATTAAAAAAATCTATATAAAGAGTGTATAAAAAACGAACAACAAACAGAACGCGGTCCGCCACAACCTATCACTTCACAAGTGCTTCATGCGCGTGGAAAACGTGAAGGGAGCGGTGTGGACGGTGGACGAGGTGGAGTTCTACAAGCGACGGCCGCAGCGAGCGCACGCGCCGCCCTTACACGCCGGGTACTGACCTGGGCAGTCCAGACCACTTCACGTTTACACTTCAGATACACTTTACACTTGCCAAATAACACGTTTGATTGGGTTTCGGATTATGATATTAATATAATAACAATAAGGTGCTTGCAATAAGGCAGGCCGTACGTTTACGATTGTAGTATTAAAATTTATTATTTGAAATTTTTAATTGGTCGTTTTTCAAAGTAAATTAAAAAAGATTGAAATAATTTGAAATTAAAAAAAGAAATTAAACACTTCTCAACTTTCACTATCTTGTTATATGCTTATACATTCGAATCATTATTAACATTTTCAGTAAAAACTAAACAGTTAACACTTTATCATTATTTTACACAAGACTTTAATACTCTTCAAGAATGTAACATTTTTATAACCACAACTTACAAAGTTTTACTCTACAGTATACACTAACGAAACACACTTGACAACTACAACAAAATAATTTCAATATACACTTATAACTCTTTCAATTTACACTTACACTTTCCAAAATAATACACGTGTTTCAAAAAACACTAAAACACTTTACAGAAACATTTTACAAATTACACGTTTAGTCATAAAGACTATTCAGAATCAGACTTTTATTACTATTACAAAACAATAAACTTCAACACACTATAATACATATGTACACACAAATATTAACACTTTTTCTCCTTACAAACACTTCAATAGCAACAATTAAATACTATCAGAACTTACATAATATATCAATGTGGAATACATTCAAGTTAAGTTTAAAATACCAACTTTTGAATAAAGGCTTATTAAATAAAACCATTGGGAAAAATATTAAAAAGAAAAATAAGTAACTTTATTAACAAACATAAATATAACACTTTTATTACACTTTTACAGATACAATAATTTAACACTTGTACAAATAATACACTTCACACATTAATCTCTTCTTAAATATTTTCTATCTAACCTAGTTATTAACTCTTATCGTGTAAATAAACGTTTTTCTCGTTTCAGATTTAAATTTTCATATTATTTGTGTAGTTGATTTTGAATTTTGTAAGTAACGGCTTAATCATTAGATTACGTCGTTACCTTTGAACGTATATTGATTGTATTTAGGGTTGTGTGTGTTCGTGGGTTTCGGCGCAAGGATAACTAATGATCCGCTTGACCCATCCCTATCCCATCTCCATCTATCCTGCATGAAACTAACGACGATCTGAGCTTAAGTTTCGTTTTGGAGGATAATAACTGTGATATGAAATGTGTTAAAGAGAGATGAATTATAGAACGCGATCCGGACCAACCTGTCTCTGCACAAATGTTTTGTGCGGTACGAAGACGACTTCGGATCCTTCTGGATGGTTGATGATGCTGAGTTTGTGAAGAGAAGACATCTTAGTCGCGGCCGTCCTCGCAAGTACGAGCCCTCCGGCGCCAGCGCTCCACAGTAAGGGCCGTCGACGACCGTCCAACGAATGTGTCAACGCTTCATACATTTGTTATTCAGCATTCATATTTCTTAATGTGTTATGGTCTTATGTTCTACAGGCTATTTCATATCTTTAATATCAAGTCAGCTTTAAACATAAAGACGTACATAAATACCGTGTTTACTCTTCTCGACGATATGAATAAAAAATAATTGTAAAATAAAATTTAATCGTACCGCCTTAAAAAATAATAATCTGTGGAAAATAAAACTTGAAAAAAGCCATAATACATTAAGAACACGTACAAGCTTTATGCTGATTAAGAATAGATATAGAAGCCAGGAACATTACGTCACATAAATTAGTCTTAGCGCGTTGGCTTCAAAGTAAACTTAAACGTTTTGTTAATCAACAAACTAGGTAATGCTTTAAAATATGCTGAATCACAAATAATGATTAGGAATCAAAACGTAATTCACAAAATCGTTTTCGAGATAAATATAGCATATGAAGTCTAACGTAACAGCCATTGCCAATAAAATATTCCACTCTAAAGATAAACAAATATCGTTGGACGATCGCGTCCATAGTGTATTTATTGTATGTGAATGAACTAAAAATCATTTAAATGATGATTTTTAGTATCAATTAGTTGTTTTCAACTATAACGTACTGTGTATCCCTGTGTAAGCTTAGATATATTCAACATGTCATGTTAGTTTGAAACTAGAACCATGTTTATTCCAATATGAAGATAGTTATTAATCTGTGAGTGTTTATTTATCTGTAAAAAGAAAAGAAATAAAATAAATAAACCTTTACGTTACGCCTTTTATATAAAATCTAGTCAGTCAAAGATGTCTTCTATCCTACGGGATTATACATAAAAATAATCAGCGAATAAAGTTTCTTATGACACAAATTATTCCACGGGATTTAAAGCATTCAACAATAATCATCAACTTTAGAATATATAAGATATATAAGCACTTAACGGTTAAATAGAATTAGAGTGCGAGGCTATAATTTAATTGTTTTGCATTAGATTTTAACACAGTTCAATACAACTAATTAATTAGCTTTAATCATAATATGTTGCTCTACTTATACATTTACCGCGAATTCCAAGAAAATATACATACAAACTGTTTATTTCGGTAATCACTTGCATGTAAAAATGAATTGTAAAGAAGATCGTCGTTGGATTTCCAAGTAAGATGTGGAAATAACCCCTCATTGTGCATGTTACCTTATTTGGGTAAGTGGCTTTGCTTTGCACGTGCATCTTTGCGCATGCTAAAAATAGATGTTTTTTCTAATATTTTTTCCATATTTATTATGCTTGCCTTTTTCTATTTTATTCTATTTATTATCTTTGACTTTTTACACACATTCACTTTTACATATATTGACTCTTACATAAATTACTCGTACAAACTAATTGGTTTCACAATTTCCAAATTCAACACTTCACAATTTTTACACTTGACAGATAACACTTTTGATAACACTTATGATTTGATAAATATGAAGAGGTCTGTGATGGCCGGGGTATGACTTTTTATTTTATTTTGATTTTTTAATTTGAAAAAGCAAATGAAGTACATCTAGTTTACATTTTAATTGCAAATTATAGAGAGATAAAGATACATTTAAAAAAGAATAATTTAAAGTTTTTTTAGTATATTTTTAAAACGTTTGTTATATAATTACAAATTACTGCAGGTTTATGGGAGCGCAAAGTCCGCCGATGATGACTAGCCCTCACAGTTACAGTGAAGCACTCAAACGAAACCTTCAGGTACATATCTAATTCTAAGCTCCATTTAAAAAAAACATATATGAATATATTTTAAGATTACCGTGTAAGACTGTTGTTGAGAAGTTGTTTTGTTCACCATTAAGACTACCTTCATCTTCATGGCACCATATCTGTCAATTCTTATTTTTATGGCGTGATATTTAAAACATTTTTTTCGGCAATGCCACGTAGAAGAAGAAGTTAAAGATTGGTCGGTGGTGCCATATAATTATTTAGTCATCGAAATGACCCTGTCAAATGTAATTTATAAAGATACCTGCAATTGCTTCTGTGGATTATAAAATTTGAACAGACTGACAGACTTATAAATAAAACAGGTAAATAAAAGACAATAATGTGTGGGACTTGTCTAAACGAATGAGCCCAAACTAAAAGAAACTTAACTAGTAACCACCTTCCGACTCCATCATCAGATCAGCTTGATGGTAATCCGGATTTCACATAATAACACTTTCAATTCAATAATATTTAGAAGTACGTGTTGACTTTTGAAGAGATTGCTATTGGTTTATAAGCGAAGTGAACAAATGCGTCTGAATAATATTTAGGACTACATATGAAGTGAACTGAAAAATTTACCATATTTTTTGCTTACTCTTATGAAATTCTGATATTTGGGCATGGTATAATATAAAAAACATTGTGAATACATTTTGTTTTATGGTAAACCAGTGTATTATCCTCCCTTAGTGTAGAATTTTGTTCACAGTTTCATAGGAATTAATATTGTTGCACAGAACCCTAATTCTTTTTCTAAATGAAAAATCGCCTACTAAACTATACTATACTATTTAATAATAGCATGAGTTATCTGCCAGTGAAACTCCCATGAAAGTCGGTCGGAGATTAGCCAGAACAAACAGACAGACAAAAATTTTGAAAATTGTTTTCTTCGTATAAGTATCTTATATATTTTTAAATGCACTTTCTATTACAAACAAACACTTCAATTTAATTTATTTATATAAACATTATCAAATACCATGAGAGCTTAAAAACTTATAAAGTATAGTTTTATGAACAAATATAATAATTTCAGGGTATGATGGAAGATTGTAACTTGTCCTACATGTCCGGGGACGATCACATGATGCAATCTGAGGAGTATCCATCTTCACATGAAGATTACAGGTGACTTTCTATAAATATAAAGATACTAAATAACTTAGGTTTAAGCTAATACTTTCTTAGATTTAACGCGAATATTTGACATTTTAATTATTTAAACTAATATTTTACTATCTTTCCGGTTTTTTTATTTCTATTTTCTATTCTTCTGCAAGTATTGTTTTATTTGGAACTTTGAAAACCGAATATCAAAACTAATCCGAGAAAATATTTGATATTAAAGCTTTATTTAAGTTTAAGTTTTTTCCACAAATTGCTTTAGCTTCTAAATATCAGGCATTTATCCTTACATACCTTTTCATTTTTTTGTAGTAGTAGTACTACTTCTTATACTACTTGTTAATAACGTTTATTTTATATAAGCATTTCTTTAAGCAAATATTAATTTCACATACTATTCCAGTCGGCCACCAATAATGAATGGCTACGGGAGCAGCTCCTCCCACGAAGTGAAAGCCGAAGACCTCAGTGCCGGAGACACACAAGACATCAAACCTAACTTGTACGCCCTCAAAAATGAAATGCAAGCTTCTGATTATTCAAATAAAGGTACCTTATAATATTCTAAAAATAATGTGCTATAATACTTTCTTAAATTTACCCGGTTGTTGATGTAAGCTAGTGGTAATGCACTCGCTTTGAAGTCAAGTGAAGTGGGTTCGAGCCCCGGATCTTACTATTTTTTCATCTACAATCATTATACGATGAAGAATTTAAGGTAACATCAAATTTTCATAATACCACATATGACCAGCGTAGACTACGACCTTTCCTCATATCAAGGGAAGGATCGTGCCCAGAATGTTATGTTACATATAGTTATAAATATTAAATAATATATTAAAATAAAAAAATGACTTAAACTCATTTACACTATTATATTTTCTCAGGAGATTATCAAAATTCCACAAAGGAATCGTCTAGCAATCGTTCTAGCGAGACCAGCCCTTACGACGATTACCGCACAGACGACAGATACCGCCCGTCCATATCACATATCAAGGACGAAGCAGAAAACTTGTCCTTAAACGAACAGAGATCTGACAAATAAACAATAACAACAATATAAGCCCTATAATACGAGAGGCTAAAACACAGAATCATAATTGTATTATGATTATGAACTCGATCAGAATCAGATTATGACTTGATTATGTGATCGATACGAGTTGAAACCGATCTCAGAATGGATATACGATCGATCCCAGAATCGATCGGTCTGTGATTATATTCTGAACGTTGCAGTGAAATTATGAACTGAATTTATATATTATTATTATTATAGCAATACGAAGTGATTTGTGGTTATTATATTATGGATAGTAGCGTAGCGTAGTCACAGTATATAATACGATTTATATTTACGGGTTTAGATCTACTTCAAGTTAGCGGACGGTTTGATGTGTTCACTGTTGGATTTTTATAATTAAAATATAAAAATTAGGAGTAACCAAATATTATTTTTCAATATTATTTTGCCCGGTTTTAACGGGACCTTTGAAGTATTATAGGTTTACGATCTATTTTTTTTTATTTTTTTTTTAATTATTATTATTATTACGTGTAAGGTTAGCTAACGTTAAATATTTCGAATTGTTAGAGGTTATTGTTAGATTAAGTGTTAGTTAAGTTAATTAATCGGTCAATCAACGATAGTTAACCTTAAAAGGTCCATATCAATATTTAAAATTGTATAATCATTATTTGTAATAAGTAAGAACAATAAGTAGTGGTATCGGTTTGATGTAGAGTAAATGTGCGCATAGCGTTTTGGTTCGAAATTATTAGTTGGTTTTGATCGTTTTTTTCATACAATTCACAGACTATTTAATGCGGTGTACCAAAAATATGATTTTATATGTCAGGAATAAACAGATTTAAAGATTTGGCGAAATAAACTGTGTCCAACTGACACGCTTTAGGCGCCATAAGAAAAAAAATTATAATAATTTGTAAACGCAAGTTCCCCCCTCTATAAAACATTCTTAAAATGTATTTTTTTCATAATTATACAGTTTATTAACTGTATTAATGAATAATAAATTTCATGACAATAAATTAAACTTTACTAACATGTTTTTGCACACCATACCGTTTCTCGATACTTTTATGCAGGGTTCGGAAACCTGTTCAATATTTAAACCTGTTGTAGAAGGTTGCATGCACGCTTCTTACTTATGAATGAATTAACCGGTTTATTACCGTAATAAAACCAAAATCCAACCTTTTCCTAACAATGACCGTTAAGCATTATTATTTCGGTTAATTAAACAGTTCGTCATTCATTAACCGGTTAAAAAACGAGCGATGAATTACTATTACATTACCGAAATAAATCGTTTTTTTAACCGGTTCTTCGCCCTTCTTTTACGTTACCTAAAATAACATAATATGGTGTAACGTCCTTCCTTACTATTCTCTTTTTAATCGCTTTTCACGCTGTTTTTTCAATATTTCACGCGATATTTTCGCCACTCGTACACAGACTTTCAAAATCTTTTTTTAATGCATAAATTATACTTCAATCTCAGACAAAGAAATAATATAGACAAAGTATCATAGAACTAAACATGAAGAGAAACAAGAATGTTTTAACACAATATATAATGTTTTAAAACAGTATACAAATGATAATTTGTATATTGAGTGATGAGTAAATAAATGTTAATAAATAAAAATACGTTTTTTTTTGTATAATAAAGAAAAATAATTAAATAAGCTAAATTATGATATTTCTTTATCAAAGGGAAGATAACTAATGATTAAAAAATGCAATAGAATATGGTATTTTTATATTCATATTTTATTTTCCAAAATTGGCTTTGGCTTCTACGAGAATAGTAGCATAAACCAGCAAATGACGACTTGAATGACATATTTTGTTAGACTCTGTATCTATATATTTTAGTCTGAGACCTCAACAGTAATCTCATATAAATGTTATAACAAACCACCTTAGTTACAAAATACTTTTAAAGTGATTTTGCTATGGCTTTATAATTTAGATTAAAAACAATTTCAATAATTTATTCTAAAAGCATTCATGGTCACTACCAATGTTTTTATGGTGTAAAACGGTGTATGGTATATTTACCATGGTTTTCACTTAATTAACATATAGCACTTACAGGCACCACAGTCTTATGCTTAACAGACTTAAAAAGACAATATTTTTGGTACATTGCTCTGACAAGGACAAATTGTCGATCTCAAGTTTTTTTTAAAAAACAGCCAGAAAGCTTTTATAATTAAGTACTAAACGTATACGGAATTGATTTTTTGATCTGATATATTTTTTATTATAATGGTTTTTAGCTCCACCGTGCCATAGCGATGGTAAGGTGTTGTGATCACATGGAATTGTTTTTTTTAATATTAGGTTGTAAATATTTACAAGTGTCATGTAAATTGTTTGAAGTAAACTTAGGCTTATAAATCATATATTAATGCATATTATTCATGTTGTAGGGAAATTAGACGAAAAAAAAGTTAGTAGTAAAATTTTCACAGTAATAGATATATGTATGTATGTATGTACTATCTGAGAATTATTTTTTATGAAATATTAGCTAATTCGTTTAGAATTTTTAGTGTTTCATAATATTATATTATTGTAAGGAGGCCTTCCACAAAATACGTCACGCAATATCTTTTCAGACCCACCTCCCTACCCCCCTCCCTAACCCCCCCCCCCCCCTCCTTCCCCCGACATGTTATATTTTCTACGACTATAAATATTGTGTGACGAATGATAGATCTACCAAAAAAGAGAAAAAATGAGAGAAAATTAGCGAAATTGTTAGATGGTCTGCGAACGTCACGTTTCCTTTGATCCCTCTTATACCCTTGTCACATCTTGTCACAGTAAGCGACACACCCTCCCCCTCCTCCCCTCCCCATAAGTGCGAACGTATTTTATGAACGGCCCCAAGCATTTATTAAAGTATTCAATAGTACGTGTTATTCCAATAATTGTAAAGGGTGAAAATAATCATATCACAATATGTATAGAATTGATGGCTTTCGGACTTTAATATATTCAAATTCGCATTTAAAATAGTGTAGAGTGCACTGCATTTGTACGTACAAATAGATTGTCACTACGATTATGTTATTTGATATACATTTCAAACGCTCTTCTAAAATGTACTTAAAATAGTTGAAATAAAATTACTTTTTACAAAATCGAAGTTTTTGTCAAATCTATCATGGCTTATTATTTTTTTTACTTGAAAAAGTTCTTTTAATTGACTTGTTCTCTTGATTATTTTTGTTGTAATTCAAATATTATGTAATACGAAATAATAAGCTATGTATTAAGATTTTCAAACAACTTCGGAGTTATCAGTTTTAGTTCTAATCTAAAAATGGCGCCCAACGTGGGGCGTTATAAATTTTGAACATTGTAAATTATACTTAATTAGTGTTGTATTAAACCAAATCATTACAAATAATATTTTGTTTTATTTATTACCCATTAATCCATACTTAAAATTATAAATGTGAAAGTGTGTTTTGTTGTTGGTGTGATTTTTTGTGTGGAGATAATTGGAAGGCTGGAGAGTGACATAAACTACTTTTTACCGTAGGAGATCATCTATTTCCCTCGGGAAAACACGTTATAATACAATCCAAATAAATATTTATGATCAGAATTACTTGAAACTTGGTATTGTTAATGCTCTTCAATAAAGTTAAATAAATACGTGTTTAAGCATTTTTTGAAATTCATCCTATAAGGGGGTTAAAATAGGGGATGAAAATTTGTATGGAACTACCTTATTAGGGATTATTTGTAGTTTTAGCGCGAGCGAAGCCGCGGGTTCTGCTAGTATGTTTATATATTATGGTAATTTTAACTAACGAATATCTGATAACATTTGTTCATTGGGCGAAAAATGAGCCACCACCAGTAGATGCGATGTACGAAGTGCTGTGACTTTTAAGAAGTGTTTAGTACTTCGACTGATTATTTTACATCCTGTTTGACTCTAATCAACTTGTGTTGATAAGATGTAAAATAAATTATTGTGCATGTTGTCTTTGCTTTTATAGTTGTACATAAATTTAACAATTGATTATTATGTAAAATAAAATCGAGCAATAGTGACGATCTTATATTTAACAACAATACATAAATAGATCATCCATGCTTACCAGATTTTTGAATTAAAAAAAAATACTACCTTTGTTATATATATAACTAAAATACTTCCTAAAAGCTAAGAAAGTAATGCCTTTAAGCGATCTAAACGGAAATGAAGTCTTATTTTAATATACTTACACGATGTTATTTCATATTTGTCATATCATTAATATCACCCGGAAACGCATGCGCAGCAAATGTTGCAGCCGTTGAGTCATCTGACAATATAATGATTGAAATAGTCTCTCTATTAGTTCATTTCAAACTAATATACTGTAAGACGATCATTTCAGTATTTTTTCTATATTATGATGACAAGTTTGGCTCGGTTTGTAGTGACCCTACTTGCTGTGCCAGCGGTCGCGGGTTCGAGTCCCGCTGGGGGCGTTCATTTGTGTGATGAGCACGAATGTTTGTACTCCAGTCATGGGTGTTTATATTTATAATATGTACTGGCGGCTCACCCTCGCTTCACTCGGGTTCTTCGCTAGGTACGTTTTAAATAGATATAAATAGTTATTAGCTAGCGTTAGAGCCATATAAATATTAATTCTTTTTTTTTTCGTTATTAAATAAAACTATCTCTTCGGATTATTTCGCGGATTTATTTTGATTTTTGGTTCCCGACGTTTCCGTTAATTTTTAATTTTTCTTAAATCTTTTTATTAAAACCTTTCGTGGACCTTACAGGAACATACGAAAAAAAAATTTGCCGAATTGGTCCAGCCATTCTTGAGTTATGCGCTTACCAACATTCATTTTTATTTATATAGAAGATGTATTTAATGTTATATATGTGTATCTGATATCCATAACACATTACACAAGCCTCCGTAGCTTTTCACGGAACTAGATTGGTGCTGTTTGTTAATGTCTCAACATATTTATATGTATCTATATAG